TGTCTGTATGTATGGTCTGTCTGTCTGTCTGTCTGTCTGTCTGTCTGTCTGTCTGTATGTACGTACGTACGTACGTATATATGCATGCATGCATGCATGTATGCATGTATGCATGCATGTATGTATGCATGTGTCTATGTGTATATGTATGTGTATATGTGTATATGTATGTGTATATACATATATATGTACATAGATAGATAGATAGATAGATAGATAGATAGTTAGATGGATAGATATACATAAGTAGATATACACATGTATGTGCATGCACATCGTAAGCTGATGTTGCCAACAAGACATCCTACATTATCGTTACAGGATAATTGCCACCAAGTACAAAGACTGCATATGTGAGTGATTATTATTGACATTCGGTCATTGCTACCATTGTTTGCCGAAAATTGCGTGCACTGGATCGAATAGATTCATGGTTATGTTTCTATCAACAGCCATTGCTTGCGCGCATCACCAACATGAGAACCCACATGGGGATTTCGAGCTTTCTCGGGCTTCGATATACTCCCCCCAGCATCCCTCAGCGTCAGGCGCGCCGAGGCCGAGCATAACAGTTGGAGCAGGCCTGGGTCTCTGAAGGTCGGGGATGTAGTAAGGTTTGAGTAGGGTCTATAGCGATCTTTAGGGTACTTCATAAGGGTTGTTGGTTTTGGAGTGCTTTTCTGGAGGTGTGGCTTGCATGCCTGTGCAGATCGCCGAGGAAGTTCGGATATCTTACAGTACGCCCTATGCCACGGCACCAAAAAGCTACAATCGCGCACAACTCGTTCAAGAAGCTCCCTCTATACCTGAGAAAAATCCCGAAGTAGCGTCTCGGAAGCCCAAGTCTGCCCTGCACCTGAAAACCGAGGCCTCAATGGCTACGTCCGGGCCTCAGGAGGTCGGAGCTGATGGGAGAGGAACCGAATGGATTACGAGTCCGGCTCTCTTATTCGGTGAAGGAAAACAGCTGCATGTACATATACACTTAGGGTTTAGGGTTTAGGGTTTAGGGTTTCAGTTTAGTGAGCCTTGTTGTGACAGGCTATGACAGGCTGTAAGGTACTGTAACGTTGTGGTTCCAGCATGTGGCATGGATGGAAGTACGGATCCCGCTGGCTTCTCTGTTGGGCCAGCATTCAAATGCCGGAGAGGAGCGAATTGATCGCGAGTCCTGTTTTGTTCTAGGATCTGACAAGCTAAACGTGTGTGCTATGTGCAAAGTCCAATTTGCGTACAGCTACGATTAATCTAGCTGTTGCGATCTCTACTCCAGCACCCAGGTACTGGTGCTGTGTTTGTGTTTCTATTGCTTCTAGAGTTTTGTTCTCAGTTTAGCGGGTTTGCCTCGCTCTTCCGCGCGATGGTGCTGACAGGGAGTGTGCCTGGCCCGAAGATGCGGTTCAGCACCCGAAAACACAGCCCAAATCGTGACCTGCAGCCTAGGCCCTCAAAAGCAAATCCGAAGCTGCTTCCGGGTAGCTTAAGCATACCCCTCCCCCCCTCTTCACCCTTTCAACAAAACGCTGGAACGGTGGTGTTGAAGAAATATGGGGGTTTCCGAAAATCATGGGAAACTCCCACATGTAACCCCGAGGATCCTGCGAGGGGCTTCTCCTTCGCGCCGAACAGCCGTAGCACCCTCCCCGTGTGCATCCGGCTTTGTTGCGATTGGGGATTGGGGGAGGGGGGTTGTGATGACGAAACGGTGATCATAATGCATCCGGCAGAGATAGTAAGGATGATGCTTCAACCCACTTCAGGGAAAGTGCCATTCAAAGCTTCAGCCTTGAAAGTCTACGGCCAACAGTTTCGGGCTTGAGGTGTTTGGGTGCAAGGCCAGTTTTGGGCTTCAAGTTGCGAGTTTGGGGCGTCATGCGGTGTCGGCTGTAGCTGTGAGGATATCAGGGTCCGAAGCTCGAAGTGCTCATGACTCCCTAACCCCCCAGGTACCTACTATATAGGGTACTAGAGCCCCTAGGGCCCTATATAGTAGGTATATACCCGGCGGGTTAGGGACTGGTGCTGGGGCTATCGAAAGCGAGTGCGCCAATTCAGAGAGCAGCCAGGACCATGAAGCCCTGCGTGCAGCCGCCAGCGCCTGCTGGGAACCCAAGAGTAATTCTTAGGGGCCTCTTTAGTAGTTGCCTGTACTATTTTGTTTTTTTGTTTTAATAGTTGCCTTTACTATCTTGGGTTTTAATAATTGCCTGTACTATTCTGGTTTTAATAATTACCTATACTCTTTTGCTTTGCAAGCTTCTAAACTCTAAACTTTAAACCATATACACTCTACCTGTCAAACTCCACGAAGGCATCGCTTTGCCCCTCCTCCGAGGCAAACATTGCGCGATCCGCAGGGGGAACGCCGCAGCAGTTGACGCCTGCAGGCCGTGGATTTGGCTGCTTGCGATGAACGGTGCCATAAGCGTGGCTTAGGATAGCACCCGGCACTTTAACCCTTACAGTAGGCCTTGCTGTATCGTCTATTCCAGCAAGCGTGGGCATCAGGAGTGTCATGGCGTGCAAGTGCAAGGTGCAGTTTACCTTTATAATCTCTCTCTCTCTCTCTCTCTCTCTCTCTCTCTCTCTCTCCCCCCCCCTTGCCTCAGTCGAGGCTAGGGACGCAGGAGGGCAGTCTAGCGGAGGTTGTCATTGTCAGAGGCTACCGAAATTCTTGGAGGAGTCTTGCCTTATTGCATATGTTATATATGTCATAACTTTAGCAGCAGAGTTGTCTTCATCTTGCAAGGGGCTTTGAAGATTTGGGCTGAAAGGCCGAAAAAACATCCTTTGCATAAGATGATTGCTCTGAGGATGCGAGACATCGACTCTTCTTTAGGACCTGCACCTACCTTCATACCACATGCGCATTCATGAGGTTGCATGGTGCTGTTTTGTTATAGCGCGCTTCTTCGGCAATGCAGTAAGCCTGCACCTTCGAGGCCCGAACCAGGCGCAGATCTACGGCGCAGGGTGCCCAGATTCCAGACCACGGCTTATCTGGCAGCGAGCATAGAAACCCGAAGTCACCCGCCCAGCACACCTCCGGTGAAAAAAGCCTGAGAGCATCAAGCACATTTCAGGCGGTACATGCCCGCGGTCGGTCGACGTCGCCCGCCTACAACGCAGGCTGGGGCGTCCTACCAACCTCTAGGGTTCAACAGCATGGCCACGGGGCCCGGCTATTAATCTATTCATAGCCCTACCTGCAACATATAGAGATGAATCCTTTTTGGGCTAGGGTAAAGGGATCAGAGATGAAGCAGGGCCAGAGCTTCAAGCCTTCAAGGCAACCGCTGCAGGAACGTAGTCATGCGGTTTGGGGGGGTGCAGTTCATAGTAGAATCAAAACCTCGGAGCCCTACGAAGCGGCAGTGCTACTTACTCCAATCCCTACATCAATGCTGGGACCCAAAGTTGCTTTGCAGAGACCTTACAGTTTTAGGGAAGAGAGAAAGAGAGAGAGACCTCTATAGCCAGAGCCGCATTCCTGCACGATGACCCAAACAGCAACACAACGGGATGTCCATTATACCCCAAACCCAAGGCCCTAAACCCTAAACCCTATAAGGCCCTAGACCCCAACTTCCAAAGCTTTCTATACTTTCGTGTGCTTTCTGATCGATCTCTTGACCCAGCAGGCCAACCCGGCTTCATCGCGACAACGATGAGGCCCCTAGAATCAGAACCAGTGTTAGTAATTGGGAGAAGGCGTAATTCGGTTCTGTTGGGCTTTATAAGTTGGTGTTCTGGAAGCTTTTTTTGGGGTGTAGCATAATTAGGTGGTTCTGATGAGTATGCAGCTAGTAACTTCATACTGTAGCCCCCTAGACCCCGGCACAGCCACAAGTCACCAGAGTTCACGGTGCGACTTCATCGAGGATGGTTCCTCGATTCATCAACCAGATTCTCCAACAACGGCTGCGAATGGCGTGTAAGTTCCAAACTGTAACCTGTAAGATCCCAGATGTCGGGGCCGCTGGCTTTTGGGTGGAGGGTTAGGGCCTATGCGCTTTGCCAAGTTCAGAACATAAAGGGGTTGAGGCGGCTATCCCTTGGCCTCAACTCTGAGCTTTTGCATTGCTAAGGCACCCGCAGCCAGTGATCTACCGGCGGTAGCCGGGCGAAGGAGCCATGGGAGAGTAGGGGTTCTGGGCTCGGTTCAGGGCCGAGGCTTTGCCTGGACCGTAGTTGTGCACAGTATACACGAGTAAGTCGCTGCTTCAGGGCCCAGACAACCAACCTTAGTAGCTGCGTAGGTAACCTTTAACCTGTTTGGGTTTATATAATCCTACCATAATTGAAAGGTTAACCTTTTTTGGGCTAGGGTACTCAGCCCCTAAACACAACGGTTCAGGGTGCAAGGTCCTCTGAAGCATTCAGGTCTTGAAGGAAGCACGAGCGGAGGGCACCTTTTCGACCTACATGCACAGGTGTTGGAGGGCCATAGTATTCGAGCCGTACGATTTACGGCAGTCGAGGTATGTTTGAGCTGACCATGGCCTTGCACCCTGAACTGCTAACGCCTTAAATCCTGAACCCGGCGAACCCCATAAACCGAAGGCGGCCAATTCTTGTTCAGACACCTGTAACTACTCCAAGACCCCAAAGACCCTAAACTAAACCCCCAAACCTCTCAACCCTAACTTAGCGCACCCTAACCCCACCCCCCTCCCCCCCCAACCTGTGTGCCCTTTCACCCCTAGCCCTAACCCCCCCAAAAGCGGTGCTTCCGCACCAGGCGCCCTTGGCGAACCAACCGGTCTCTCTCTCGGAGTCCAGGTCTTCCAAGGTATTCAGGGCCTAGGGCTTCAAGAGGATAGGAGTGCAGGGTTTTAGGGTTTCTGGATTGGGGGTTTAGGTTTTAAGGTTCCTGGGTTCAGGTCTAGGAATTAGGATCTGAGGTTAGGTTGAAGGGCCCTCGGACCAAAGCCACAGCCCTTAAGGCGTTTTTGTTCGGATTCCGGTGGAAGCCGATGCAGTGCAGCGCGGTCAGTCTTAATAGGTTCAGGTGTACTAAATATACTGTGTAGCTACCGTTTGGTTTGTTCACGTGCTTCATCCGGCCAAGGTCCTGGGTCCGAGCAGGACCTCGAAGTGGACCCACTTCCTGGGACCTGCGATCGGCTTGACAAAGCTCAGGCGGTGCAGGGAGGTGACTGTGCCACGGCCTTCGTGGGAGCCGAGGGCTTGCAGGTTGGATCCCGACGGACCACAACCACTACTGCTAGAAGAGCTGACTGCCGATGCATCTTGTGTCTGACAGTGACCCTTCAACCCTGCCAAAGCCTTGTTAACCCGTACCGACACCCGGCATATGGGATCCACCCTGTTGCCTCCTGGCAAGTTGCGGTTTTTGCTTCGGCGTGGCTCCCTGTCAGAAGAGTCGACCAAGAGCACCTGCAGACCAACAATCGCTCTGGCAGACACCGACGCTGCTAGAGACCAGTGATGCTGCGCACCTGAGAGCACCCAGACACGGTATGCGTTGCAGGACTAGGGAAAAGCCTTGCAAGCGACGCATAGAAGGCAAGTCACAAGCCTAGCGGTGAGATGAGATATATCGCATTCGGTCCCTGGTCCTCACACGACATGAAAACGGAATCCTAGACCGCCCTTGGCTGACCGAGCCGATCTCGCCTGCGATGCCTTGTCCATTGCATTGCAGTGGCATCCTAGCCTAACATTACGAGACAGTAGAGAAGTCTAGGCCCAGCCGAAACCCAACATCCGCCGCACCCCTGTCTTACCCAGGTCCTCTGAGCAATGGAAATCTCAACACATTGTGGCAGCACATCAACACCCCAAGACCTCCCCCACAACTCACGATGCTAACGGCCCTAACTTTAGCGGTTTCGCATCCGATCTGCAAGGATCCGTTGGGCATCGCGGGGAGCGAAATTTTTAGCAGGGGGGGAGTAGATCATTCCATGAGTCAGGGGAACTGGGCCGCAGGCCTTGAGTGCTGAAGCCCGAAGCTGTGGACCTTGAAGCCAGGATCCTTAAGCTGTTCATGTGCTTCCTTGTACTTTCGTGTCTTTACCTGTCACTGTTTACTGCCACATATCCCCAGTCCTTGAAGGCTTTCTGCTACTGGATCCCTATTGATACTCCTGCGAGAACTCCTGGCTCCTGGGCTTCGTCGTAGACTGCGCTCGGACTTGTCCAGTGCCGTTGCCCGGCAGCCAAAAGCCGACGCTCTTCAGTGGCTGGTCCCTTGGATTCTGATAGAATTAGAAGCTTGAGGGCATATCTCTGCAGATCGGCAAGATGGTCGGGAACACTGCAGATTCGCTGATGCATGACGCTGGGTACATTGCCCGTTGCATGTCTTATGCAGCTACAGCCCGCCGTATCTCACGGAAGCCGCCATGATCTGAAGCCACCGCCAGCGACGATGAGGCACAACGACGGCATGTTCCTGCTCGCATGCATGTTGCAGTCGGTGGGTCTCTGTTTAGGCGAATCCCAGCAGTTCGCAAAGTTGGACATCGCAGTGCAGGGTACAGCATTCAGTGCCACACACACACACACTTCAAAAGACATTCTTTCTCTTTCCTTCTTCACCATGACATGATGCGAAAACAAGGAGATCCCTCGCGAGAGGAGAGACGGTTTGGCCATGCTTGATGGTTTTATGACAAATGCAACACAGACAGCATCCCGCGCAATCACCCCCAACAACACATCGAAAGGTGCTGGACTTGTGGCGGCCGCAGGCTTGGGAGCGTTGGTTTTGGCATCTCAAGCCTGGGTCGAAGTTTGCTTCGAGGGACTTCGAGGGTTTAGGAGCTTGTGCTCGGCCATTGCTTCGCTGACCTTTCCCCATCCGCTGAAACATGGCTTGGCTTGGCGGCTAATTCCTCGATCGCGGTGCTTGTTCAAGCAAATCCAGAATGATATTTGCACACAGGAGCATCATGATGCAGCAACCCGACTTCAGGTGGGCTGGCCTGTTCACGATCGGTACAATCAAGGATTTAGTGGCATGACCAACACTTCTGCATTGCTGCTGCAAACTCTGGGTCGGAATCGGGAAAGCAGACTTCCATCACCCTGCCGGGAGTGGGCACACGGGCGATGCACATGTCCAATGCCAAGCCTTGGCACTTAGTGAGTTAGTGCCGAGCTCGTCACGGTAGCGGTGTCGCAGGCCCTACCGGCGCTGCTGTTGAAGGCCATGGACTGAGTCGTTCGCACTTGGGTTCAGAGGTGTAGGCACATGGGGCTTGGCCGCCAGGTTCGAGTTTAGAGTGCAGGATTGCGGTGCGTTAGAAAGTTGCATCGAAAGCGCCAGTTTTCTGCCCAACACTCGGGTGAAGAAGCAACATGACTGTCAGAACAGCCTGCCGCCTCAGCAACAGCGCAGCTCAGATCTTGCTGGAGAGTCCGAGCTAGCTGTATAGGACCTCTTAGAGCTTCTGAAGCGACACCCGGACATGATCTTTTGCAGAATCCGATAAACATCGATACAGCCCACGCCCTCAAAAGAGACATGGCTTCTTGACAGGGGGAGCATCATAGAGCGACAATATGATCCCGATGTAGGAATGCTTGTATACCTCCTTGGTAAGGTATCTATCTTCATGGCCTGTAGCTCAGAACTTAGGTTCATGGTGTCGGGAAAGACACTGATCAGTGTCGGAGCCCTGTCTTTGCTCAGCATATTCCTTACTGAGCTGGTCAGCACGCTCAAGACTCCATGCCAGCTTCATTCATTTGCATTGATCAGGGACGCGGGCGCCGACCTGACTTCGACATCGCGCATGCCCCGGCCCTCTGTTCTGAACCATTGCTTCATTCTTGGATCCTGTGAGGATTGGGAGCTCCTTCAGATAGAGCGTGGAGCCCGAAAGAGATCTTGAAATTGCCTGATGACTGCGCCCTTCCCGGCCCTACCCTGGGCTTTCGCGGCACCAGAGGTCATCTCCGCCTGGGTACGGTGCAGCCCTCCTTGCCATCCGGAGCATCCAAAAAGAGCAGGCCGATCTGGTTTGACATTTCTCGATTTTCACCGGAGCTGTGTCATGTCGCCAAACCATGTCAAACCCCGTCAGGCGGAGGATAGAAAGAAGATTAAGGAACTGGAGGCCAGTGTCCCATCACATTCCGAAGTTCGCTACTGGTACACTTAAGCGGATGGCAGGGATGGGGGCTCAAGATAACTTTCGGCGCTGCAGGCCCGCATCGAGGCCCTGCTTGAACAGCTCGCCGAACCAGGTCGTGCTGTCTGCTGGAATTTGGCGTGGTGCGTGCGAGTGCGAGCTGGTTTAGAAAAGATGCTCAAAGCACTGGGTTGACGTTAAGAAGCTGTGTCAACCTCGCCTGACAATTCAGTTTTTCCACGGCTGCATAATGTAGGTTCGGAGTGGGGAATGTATAGGTGAGTATGAGGTTCGAAATTTGCAGCCGCATGTTTGCACGAAGGTCGGATGCTTTAATTTGGCATCGGTGGTCGCTTAGGATCGCAGCAGTATAGGTTGTGCGAGCCGGCATGTTCCCGGCGGTAAGTCACGTGGTGCTAGCCCAATCATCTGTTGGTCTTTGACATTTCACAGTGTTGCCGTCCCCGCAGCGTTTACAGCATTCGGCCACGATGCCGCACATGAAAACCAACAGCTGCAGGACGACTCCTAGTCCAGGGTTTTTAGCTGGTTTCTGTTTGGCAAAGGTTCCCAAAGCGGCGTCCAGCTCCGCCCATGATACTTGTCTTCGATGCCGAAAGAACGTCACGAAATCGTTTCAAGTACTTTGAGCCAGTCCATAACCTGATCATTTCCGCAAGCTGATAGACTGAAGCCCAAGCCTTTCGATCAAAAACTACGTGCTTGAGACTCTAAACTCCAATGCTTCCAGCCGACAGCTGGCCCGTGGCGTCGCAAGTGCGGAGCCCATGCCGGTGATCAGGACTGGGCTTTGAACCCCTAAACCCTAAACCCTCCAAGCTTAAGCAGCACTCGCTCTCTCAGTCCTGGTAGCAGGTTGCCCCCGAGCTTAGCCCCCATTCTGTATATATGATGCAGGGCTGCCACGCCCCCCTCTCCCCCGGTGGGGTGGGCCTGTGGTGGTACCCTTTCCCCCGCCCCTGTGGTTTCGTTGTTGTGGTGAGTCGACAATCG